AATATAAAACACCTTTACATTGAATCAAAAAACACATTAAAGTATAATCCTTAAATCCCAGCGAGTTTTGAGAAAACTTCTTTAATTTGATTAAAAACAATGTTTTTACTCAAAAAATTAAAAAATCTTGGTAGTATTCAAAAAAACACATCAAAGGATAGAGAGCAGGAATCTAAAGATAATTTTCTCTGTTGAGAGAAATTCAACAATTAATTTTAATTAATTAATTATTTTATCGCAGCAAATTTAAAACAATATTTAGTTTCATTCATAAATTTGCAAAATATTAATTAACTCGCTTATCGCTTTTCTCTTTTATGCAATATAAGGAATTTTTTACAATACATATTTTGTTTTGTTTGTTTTTGCAGTGAAATTTATGGCAATAATTTGGTTTTTAGTGTTCCAATTAGTTTAAGTACAAAGCTTAAATAACAAATTTATTAGTAAAAAAATTAGTAATTCTGTTAAAGAAACAATAAAGTGCAGAGTGTAAAATTTAACTTTATTATTATTAATAAAAAAAATTGTAGTGAAATAGTTTTTTGATAAAAGTAAAGGGAATTGGTTCCGTGAACTTTATCAGAACGGAATAAAACCGACTAATGCTTGTTTTAATTATTTATTTCAGACTACTAAAGCAATAATTATTTATGCATATGTATAAAAAATTAAATAATAAATTCCTAATATAAAACACCCTTACATTGGATCAAAAAACACAATAAAGTGTAAACCAACTTAACTACTTTAATTCCGAGCTCGTAATTTATTACCAAATTATCAGAAAACCTGATATAGTAGGGCTCTTTAGTAATTATACTTATGATGGCAAAAAACTGAAGATTTTCACGGTTGAGACTACACCAGCGAATATAAGTGTTGATTTGACTCAAAACGTCACTCTTAAAAATGGGGAAATTATTAATTTTTTTATCTAATCAGTAGTTACCTGAGTCGCTGTACTTTCACCCACGAAAATAATGGCACAAAATGTGGTCACTGAAACCACACTTATGGCACTTACGCGAAAATAAACACTTTCCAAGCTGCCATTAAACTAAAATTTTGATTTTTATATACAGCATGACTCGTAGAGAAACGTTGGAGAAAAAATATTTTTGTTTTTTAACAACACAGGGTGATTCATATAACACTAACTGCCAGTATTATCAACAACTTGATTTACAGAACTTAATAATCATTAATTATCTACACTACTCCAAAAAATTAAAGAAACAATAACTTTTCCTAAATTTTTTGGTGATTTTTGGAAGGCTGTAACTCAGCGAAAGATGGTCGTATCTAAATTAAAAAAAAACATTTTGAAGGTTTAAGTTTCTAGTTTAGAAATATTTCTTCTATGCTACGGTAATTCTAAGTATTTTTTTACAATTTTAGTTTTTTTAAATTTTAGTCAAATTTGAAAAAAAAATTGGAAAAAAATTT